ATGTTGCTGCTGAAATCCTTATAATGGGTCTTGGCCAAAGACAAACATGAAAGGATTTTTTTAAATTTTGTAAAATTATTAGAGATCATTCTGACAATATTTGAGAAAGGTACTTTAGGATATATTAGGAATTAACACAGGAACTAATCCTGTAAACTTTTACAACGTCACTCAGAATGGGAGGGGGGTGGTCACCTCTACAGTGAAATCACTGCTGTCAATATTATGTGGAGAAATATTTAATGCTTTTATGCTCTTCAAATTCATAATCTCCTCAAGGCTGAGACTACCACTTTCATTTGTCTAAACTCACAATACACATCTACAGTATCACAATTTTTTCCAGTTTTAAAAGCCTAGTATTTACCAGTAATAAAATAAACCATCCTTCCTGTTATACACCTATGAAATATTTCAACATAGGTGTCTATCCATCTGATGCATCATTAATGTGTTCTCTGAAGTCCTTCCTCCACAAAATATACTCCCTTTTTAATGTTTTTTTTTATATTCAGGTAGACTTTTTCAAATGTTGTCAACATTAATAATAACTGTCAACAGTAATAATATACATTGGGAGGACAAAAATATTTTGTTCTCCAAGAGAAAATCAGCCATTTACTTTATACATATTATGCTCACTCTTTAAAACCTCCAAAAGAGACAAAGATAATCCTGAGTCCAGGAGCTACGTCAAAACCCAGGTGGGAATCCAGGAGCGCTGCCGATACTCCATGTCAAGATAAGACCGAGCATGCGTTGGCTCCTACCCAGCCCAGAGAAAGCTTTGGAGGCGTGGGCTGGGAAAAAAAGCCATCATTCTCTCTGAGCAGGCTCCCGATAGCAGGAGATAAGGGTAGGAAAGGAAACAGGACCCCAGAGGAGGCTGCGTGCCGGCAGAGACCCGGCCAATGCCCGGGTGACGTCCAGGCAGAAACACTTCCCAAGGCAGGCAGAGGGCTGAGGAGGAAAGCAGGAATAGCAGGGGGGAGGGAAGACCCCTCCCGGAAATACTGTAATACTCAGTGAGTTCTGAATGCAGAAAAGTTCACAGGAACAGTGTAATTTTTTTTTACTGTTTCAGTGAGGTATCATATTACTTACTGACAGATAATATTATCTAGGTACAGCATATAAACTACTAGCATTTTTCATTTAGTTTCCCTTGTCTTACCATAAATAGACCTTATGTACCGGGGGGGGCGGGGAATGAAGGAAAACACATACTTTTGGCCCGTGCATTTTTAATGGCCTATAAAAAAACACCTATCTAAAACTCAAAGTCTTCAGACTACATCCATTTCAGCTTCTTTCCTAGTTTTTTCCCAGTCTTCACAAAAGTGAATTCTAGCAGTGTGCTATTACCAACAGCCCTTAGCCATTTAAACACTGAGTCAGAAGGTCTCATTATTTCTGTTACCAGAAGGGATGAAAAGACACAAATAAGACGTCCCACCTGAGGATGTAAACTTTAAAAGTTTGCTACCCAAGGAAAGTAAACTAACTCGAATCTAGGTTTGTGGAGTCCCTGCCCAGTTCTTCACCACACTGCTTCCCATATAACCAGGAGAGTGCCGTCAAGCAGAATCTGGACTCACGTTTTATACCCAACATAACGTTGGTGGGCGGCAGCTGTGTGCCCTTGGGCTCTGGCGCTGTTGCTGCCCATTTCCAGGCAGGGCTGTCCCTAGTGCTCGCATCGCTGTGTGTGTCACCTTCTCCCCAGGAGACAGCTGAGGAGGAGCCTGTCTCCCCTGAGCATGACAGCACAGAGGGCAGCGGGTGAAAAATACAGGTGGTGAGAGGTTTTCACAGAGGTTTCCGCTCACCCCATTGCAAGAGGACACAGGTAGCTCGGCCATTTACCCCCCGGGCCGTTGGGCCCAGTCACTTGATGTCTGCCTCCAATTCGCCATTTCAAAACCGCAACTGACGGTACTTGGCCCCTGGTAGACAGGTGAGGACTCATCACAAGCTTTGAGGAGAGGGAGGGGTACCCATCAATGAGCCGCCCCTGTTCCTCTCTGGCAGCATTTTGATGGGCAGGATCAGTTATACAGAACCGCCAGGAAGTGTGAGACATATGTGAGAAGAGAAGGCTCTGGAGAGACCTTATAGCAGCATTCCAGTATCTGAAGGGGGCCTACAAGCAAGCTGAAGAGCTTTTTACAAGGGCATGTAGTGATAGGATGAGGGACAATGGCTTCAAACTGGAAGAGAGGAGATGTAGAATAGGTATTAGGATGAAATTTTTCACTATGAGGGTGGTGAGGTTGCCCAGGGAAGGTGTGGATGCCCCATCCCTGGAGGTGTTCAAGGCCAGGCTGGACCGGGCTTGGAGCAACCTGGTCTGGTGGGAGGTGTCCCTGCCT